AAGGCCACAGAGGGAAAAAGTAACCCAAAACTTAATTTCAGAGGGAAAAAACAGGTGAGAAGAGAATTCTCATGACCTCCAAGGGTTGAAAAAAATGAATTGAATTTAATGTGAAAAATTAATATGAATTGGAAAAAAAGTGCATTTTTCTGTGAGTATGCAGCAAAGATGATGGTAATTTCTGCTGTGTGTTTGTACCTCAGTGCTTTCTTAAGCCTGGGCTGAAGTGGAAAAAAAGCAAGGTGGGAAAGAAAAAATGGTTTCACTGTACTACATGATTTTGCAGTGTCTAATTTTGGACACTTGTTTCTGAAAAGTCTTGCCTGTAGCCTGGCATACATCAAACTGGTTCTGTCAGAAGCACTTTTCAACCTCAAACTTTGTTCCCAGGCTGAAAAACTGGCACGGCATTTACTCCAAAACCCAAACAAATAGCAGCAAGTTTCTGACCTCAGGCTTGCCTCTTGCTGCTAATCTGATTCCTTTTAAGGGTAGGAGCTGGTGGTTAACATGATTTCTAGTGAAACCCTGCTTGCAGTTGAATATGAGAGTGTTGGGTTCTGCTGGGGCTGTTGATAGAAATGTCATGGCCACACACCCATATCCAGTTTCTAGGAAAATCTTCCGATGTATCTTTTGCATTCTTTATATTGTCATGTGGCTGACCATCACTGACATGCCTTCTTAAGATTATGTTCATGTCCAATAAGAGCATGAAATTTAACTCTATCATGGGTTCCTACCAGTTCATTTTGACCCCTATCTTGGCCCCATCTGCTTTACCCCTTCCTGTCTAAAACAAATTTATCATAAAGAGGAGCTCTTGCAGACAAATAGTGAGTCACAAATCCCGATTCTGAGTAATTCCTGAGCAGCTTCCTGCTGTGATCCAGCCCCAGAAGGTGGAGATGTCCTTTCAAAAAATAGCAGGGGTCTGCAGCAGACTTGGTCTGGCTCCTGCAAATGCTGCAGTGGGGTTGTTTTTCTTGCCTGTCATGTGCCAGCCAAACAGAGTTTATAACACAGAAATGAAAAGAGGAAAAACTGCCTAATCTTCTAATAAAATGTAGCAACCTCGAGGGAGGAGAGTGGCTTAATATAGTAGACCTACAAGCCTCAGTCAGGGAATAATTTTGAAGGAATATGTAAATATTGCAGCTTTTCTGTGTTTTGCTTTCTGACTTACTCTGAGGGAATACTTTTTTTCCAACGTAAGTGGAATGATTGCTTTTATTCATCCAGAGACCAATGGATTTGTGTTAATGGATTGGCTATGAAGCCTGGCATGTTAGAGGACAGGGGAGTGGGTTTTGTGCTGGTTCTGGAGTGTGTTCACACAACCATGGAATGTGTTGGGTTGGAAGGGACCCATCAGGCTCATCAAATCCATCTTGTGGCCCTGCACAGGACACACCAGGAGTCACACCCTCTGCCTGAGACCATTATCCAGACTCTTCATGAACTCTTTCAGGCTTGGTGTTGTAACCACGATTTCCACCAGGCAGTACATCACAGTTCTCTTAGGTGTTTTCTATTACTAACCTAAATGCATTAAAATGTCTTTTGATGAGTATTTATTGCATAAAGTCTCCACTGGAGGTGTGTTGTTTGCTTTGTGATTGGCTACACAGCACCAGATTGGTTACACAATATTGTTTGTGCTTCCCGAGGGCTGGAGGACAGAGAGCTTCCACAGAGCTGCCTCTGGGGTGGATATTGGCCCATATGAATTTAAAATTTGGTTTCCTTGACTGACATTTACTTTCTGAGAACTCTGTTGCCCGTCAAACTCAATTGCTCAAATGTCTGTGGCAAACCAGTGGTGGTATGTGAATGTGGCCTCAGCAAATTAATTTTTAAAAATGTGAACCAATGTTCACTGGAGGAAAAATGGAGCATTTCTGTATTATTTGGCTACAGTGAGTCTTACAAGCTGATTTGATCCTCTTTCTTTTTCTGTCATCAGATTTTCATGACAAAGTTATATATGTATGGTATTACAAATCCCGAGCTCCCCAGAAAGATCTTTAATCATCTAGACCATATAAGCAACGAACACTTCAGGCAAAAGCAAAGCTATTAATTTTGCACTTCAAAGTCACAGGTTTTTTCCCCCCTACAAAGTGTATCTTATAGAGCTGCCACTCTCCACCCTCATTCTCAGTCTATCCATAGCTCTGGTGCTGCTGCTAACCCGAACCAGTGAAATGTTCTTCATTCACAAATATGTGCAGAACCTGCATTAGCCCTGTACAGGATCCCCTCCTGTCACCCCTGCTGGGAGGAGGTGCTGGATTCCCTCAGGGGCACTTAGAACCTTCTGTCCATGCTGCATGGCTGCTGTGAGCCTCCCGAGGGAGCTCCCCTGGGAGCAGCAGCTCCCTTGTGCCTGTGTTAGTCCCAGGCTTCCCAGGAGGCAGCAATGCCAGCAGGGAAGCTGCTCTGGAGTACCTGCCATTGCTGTGTGTCAGACTCTGCTATGCTACACTGACTTTTTGAGTTCTGAATTTCTGCTTTCTTTGTACTTTGCCCATTTGCAGTCCAGTCAAGCATGGTCTCATTCCTGTGAGCACACAGTGCTTTTGTTCTTTGGGGTTTGGGTCTTCCTAATTCCTTGGCCTCAGTGATGTTTCATGGAAAAGTGTTTGAAGGGGGATTGTGCAGGCTGTCATCTTCTTACCTATTCCCTTCTAACAGTCTGAAACACTATCAGCATTGCATTTGCTTGAGTATTGTCTTGCCCACATATTCTGAAAGAGGAAACAACTTACTTCACCCATGTCCTCTAGATCAGCCATTACTTTTAAGTCTCTCCCTCAATTTCTCCCTCAGATTTCTCTTAGCCTGCTCAGCTGTCCCACTGTGCTGTTTGTGGAGAAGAACTCAGAGGCATGACCTTGTCTCAGTTCAATACTTTATTAGTTTTGGCATTCTATGTATTTTTAAATATAGGTTTTCCTTTTATAGGATTAAGTATTTCTGTTTTAAAGGCTTGTTGAAACATGTTTCTCTGTCTTCCTATCTCAGGCTCAGCAGCTGATCAGCACAAGGCTGTAGATCAGAAGTGACTTCTGGCTCTTTCAGACACCAGCTAGAGGAGGAAATGGTTTGAGGTGTGCTGACCAAGAAGATTACTGGGGTTGGCACTTCTGTCAAATGTTTGTTCCAGCTATTGCTGGAGAATTCACAGTTCTGAGAGCCTGAGCAGTCCCAGCAGGTAGAATTGGAGAAAAGAGGGGCAAGAACAGAATGAAAAGCTCTCACATTTCCTCTTTTCTCCCTCTCAGAGCATTGTCTTTGTAATGCTGCCATTTAAAGATTGAATACCTACCCAGGGACTGAAATTAATATGTAATGTTGAATCAAGTTGCTACTATAAGATTGTCTACCCATCCATCTGGTGCAAAGCAATATATACTAAATCTGTCTGAAAGGACAGGCCAGCCTGAAGTAAATGTGCTTCTATCATGGTGTGACAGCCTGGCCAGCCTTGACAGTGGGTTCCAAGAATCAAAAGTTTATGGTCTGTCAGCTAGTACAAACATCCATCCATCAAATATCCCCCACTTGTTATACCTAGAAGACAGAACCGTGGAGGCATTAAGAAATGGGTGGCAGAGGGAAATTATCTGCTTTGATATATTCAGTCTCTAGGATGAGAGAGATCTTGTACTCCCCTGTACTCTCAAAGATCATCAAAACCCCACCCCTGAACGTGGTTGGATCACAGAGGTCTGAGACAGCACAGAGGAGATCTTTGTCCTCTTTTTTCAGCTCTACCTTGCCCTCCAGCAGAAACTGTAGCTCAGAGCTTTTAAAGTTTGGGCTATTGCTTGTTTTAAACCACAAATTTTTTGTTAAACAAGGTCTGTGTTCGTACTCGAGTGGCTTTACTGAACATTAATGTCACTCAGTGGCCAAGCGTTCCCCGGGGAATGCTCCTGGCTTCCCCATTGCCTGTCTCTCGCAGCAAGGTGGCACCCTAAGGGACAGGCATGCTCAGGGCTGTACTCATGCCAGTTAAAAACCCAGGGTCTGCAGGACCAGTCCTGCCTTCTTGCTGCATTGTGGGGCTGTGAATGCTCTGGTGGCATCCTCGCTCCTGACCTGAAAACCCCCAGACCACAGCTCCCTAATCTTAAAGGGTGCCTGTAGTTTCTAGTGCAGTTAAAGGTCCTTGTCCCAGTGTCCTCATTCAATTCTGGATTCATTCTTTTTGTCCCCTCTCAGGCTCCTTGCTGGGACCTCGTACTTTACTGATCTCCAGCTTCCCAGCCTGCAGAATCCCATGGGATGGCAGATTATGTGGAGAAAGTGAAGAAGGGCACTTCCTTTGGGTGGACAGGGGGATCCAAGGCCAGAAGGAGGGAGCCTGTGAAAGCTGGAAAGTGGGAGAGCAAATGATAAATTTCAGAGGAAGGATGCAGCTGAGGGAAGAAAAGGAATTTCTTTGGGCTGGGCAAATACATCTTAAGAGATTTGAGTACCTACAGGAACACTTCAGAAATGGTTAGCAGTGGATTCTCTCAAGGCCTTGTCTCTTAAAAGGACTTCAGGGCTCGGTTACTGCATGGACAATTAATCAGATGCCTGGGGGACAGGTTTTGCTTCCCTCTTCCTGCTGAGTTGGCTTCACATCACAGGTGTCCTCTCTGGGTACAGAGGTGTGTTAGGATATGCAAGGACATGCAGGGAGTGTTTGCAAGAGGATGGAAGCTCTGTTCCCTGACCAGCTCCTCCTTCCTTGATAATGCAGAGGCAGGCAGGGGAGCTGGGGGGGTGTTCCTGTTATCCAGTCAGTCAATCAATCAATCAATCATTTCCCTCTGTTTATTATTTATCTCCCTGGCCAGACCCTCCCCTCATTCCTGCCACTCTGGGCAATGAGAATTTTTGTGATCTCTGAGCAGCAGAGGCTGGTGGGCAGCCTGTTCTCTGCTAGCAGCTCATTCTCAGCCATGTGAGAGGAGAAACATCCACAAGGAGAGATGGAGTTAGAACTTTATTAGGAGAAACCTAGATACGACTGACTAAAATCTCATGTTAAGGAAAACACACAGGTCTTTTCAGGATTAAAAAATACAAATATATAAAAACTTACAAACAAAAACACGGTTTCCCCTGTCTGAGTGTGAATGTGTATTTAAATGCACAGGGAGCTGTACCAAAGCTGTGTATCAGGAGCAGGGATTCACTTTCAGTGGCCCTAAGAGAGGGAATGGCTCAGTCCCCTCATCAGCTGGTCCCAGGCCATTCGCTTGTGCAGTCCAGTGTTGGGAAGCTGTGGCCTGTGTCTGGAAGAGCAGTGCAGGGTAAACAACAGGGAGCAGTGTGGCTCTGTTTAGCAGATCTTTCCCAGAGGGATGTCAGCTCTGCACTGAGAAAATGTATCTTGAGTGGGAGCTGCCTGCAGACCTCACCCGCCAGACTCACAGTGCAGCCTCGGGCCACAGTGGTTGCTCTGAGAGGTTACAGTGGTGGAAAGACCTGGTCCATGGGTGATTTCTGGCACCATGTGTGCCAGGTATGGAGTGGAGAGGATGGCCTGGTGGCAGAGCAGAGACTTGCTGTGGGGACAAATAACTTGACCTGTGCTGGCTGGCAAGCTTGAGAGAGCAGGCAGGAGCTGAATGATGTGCAGGACCTGAGCAGGGCTCTTTCTGCTTGCGGAGGATGCTGAAGCATTTTGGTAGGTTGGTGAGAAGACACAGGCCGTACCTCTTCTGCAGATAAACAGAGGATGCTTTTCTCTCAAGTGGGCAGCTGGTAGCACCCTTTCAGCATAATTCAGGTTGCTTGAAAGATGGGTTTCAAAAAGGGGAAAACCACTTTTTTTCTACATGATACCCGTGAGATATCTGTTCTCACTGCAGAGTCTCTATTTCTGTTAATGGATGTCTTGCTTAGGATTAATGACATAAGTATATTGGGAAATTTTCCCAGTCTTCATCAAATGGTCATCTAAGTGATTTCCCTGGGGCCAGTCTGCTGCCGCTGACTTAGGAATGAGGAAGGGATTCCAATGTTAGACATGAGGCAGCTGTGCACTGGAGACCACAGATGTCCTTATTTACGGGGAAGAGTTGTTCTACACACAGTGTCAAAAAATTCAAGTAGGATTTATTGTGTAGGTAACCTGGTATAAAATATCTGGGCTCAGATAGAGAAAGGGAGGATTATAAAGAGCCAAAATGAAGGAGATGAGAAAATCTTTCTTTCAGAAAGCTGACTGGTATGTTTCTGCAGATGAGAGAAGCTTCTGCTCAGTACAGCCGCCAAGCTGATGTTGCAAACGTTGAATAGAGAACACAGAAGATTTAGAGGTCCAGTCAGTCTGTTGAATACAGAGTCACAGTGGATACCCACTGGGCAGGAGTCTGCTGGCCTGTGCTCTACCAGGCTAAGGGTGGGGAGTCTCTAATCCCTGTGGGTTCCATGGTGAAAATACAGCTGAGGGCTTCATATCCCGAGATTGGTGTCTCTCTTCAGTGCCTGTGGCTGCCCCTGCCTTGAGCTGTTAGAGGTGCTGTTTGGAAAGGATAGAGAGAGGATATTAAGACAGGGAGGTTAGGGGTGAGAGTTTGGAGTCCACTTTGCCAAAGTTTTACTGAGCACTGGGACAGCTCCTTCTCCTCATCCCTGCTGGAGACAGGTCACACAGACAAATCATCCGACCTAGCCTTGCTGCTGGCACGGCTGGCCTTGCTGAACCGGCGTTTCTCGTTGAAGTAGTTCTCGGGGAAGGCAGGTGCTGCACATTCACTGGCCGCCTCTGGACTCTCCACGTAGCTGGACTTAATGAAGGGCCCTTCCCCAGCAGCATCCTCCTGGCCGTGGACCCTCTCGGTGGCGAAGTTGGCGGTGTTCTGCTGGGAGGCCATCTTGTTGCTGAAGGGGCTGATGAACTTCCCGTTGGGACTGGACAAGCACTGGTTAAAATCCGGCGGCGGGGTGTACATCTGTGCCCTCTCTGCCTGTGGGGCAGACTCCAGCCTGCCGGGCGCTGTGCTGGGGCTGGCTTTGTAGGACCGGGAGCACCTCTCTTTGGCTTTCTTCCAGCCCAAGTGGTACAACTCGGCCAGGCTGAGGAAGAGGGAGAGCACTGCCACGGCCAGCATGAAGACGATGAACACGTTCTTCTCGGTGGGGCGGGACACGTAGCAGTTGACGGGGTGGGGGCACGGTGCCCGCTGGCAGATGTACAGGGTCTCCAGGAAGATCCCGTAGAGGACGTACTGCCCCACGATGAAGGCCACTTCCATGGCAGTTCGAATCAAAATGCTGTAGACGTAAGTGTTCAGCAGGCTGCCCCTGAGTATGATTTGGCCTCCTGCTTCATCCCAGCCAGACAGCTTAGTCTCTTTCTCTGCCACGGAGCACTTCTGCTGGTAGTATGTGTCACCACCGTTTTTGTTCTCTCGGGCCTCTATTTCTGCCTCCTTCATCTTCCTCTTCTCCTCCATGCGCACCGTGTGCATGGCATGGCCCATGTACACCAGGGACGGGGTGGAGACGAAGATGATCTGGAGGACCCAAAAGCGGACGTGGGAGATGGGGAAGGCCTTGTCGTAGCAGACGTTCTCGCAGCCGGGCTGCTGGGTGTCGCACATGAAGTCCGACTGCTCGTCCCCCCAGGAGGACTCCGCGGCTGTCCCCAGCACCAGCATCCGGAAGATGAAGAGCACGGTCAGCCAGACTTTCCCCACCACTGTGGAGTGCTTGTGGACCTTCTCAAGGAAGTCTCCCAGGAAACTCCACTCCCCCATTTCTGCTCACCAGGAGGGGTGAGAAGTCTTGAGAGCTGAGCGCAAGCCTCTGTTGGGAGAAAACAGAGAGTGGTTCTGAGGAGGGTTAGGAAATGCCCAGCTGGTAATGGAGTGAAATGGGTCTTTTTTTTTTTTTTTTTTTTTTTT